TAGGAAGAACGAGTTAAATCATGAAAAAGGGTGAGGTCTCTCATTCGTCGCTCTCAGACTACTAAACAGGCTTTGAAGAGTTTATCTCCATTACCCTGGCGGTGCTAATTAAGCTATAAAACGGTTTGATGCGGTGAAAGACGGAAAGCTTTGTTGTTTTCGGGCTATGGTGGATCATTTTGGTTGTTTAAAGCTACTTGTAAGACTCCCAAATGATGGCATTAGCCTTGAAAACAATTAAATTAATTTCCCTTGCTGTTAAATTTACCCCAAAATGTGTATCCCGTTTATTTTCCTGCCAGATAAGTTTGCAAGCAGGTAATTAAAGGAGCACTATAAGAACTGGCCACGTAGCGTTAGTGTGTGTAACAAATCCGTTTAAAACATGCATGTTTGTACAGGTTGAAGTCTGAAGGCAAATGTTTGGTCTCAAAACTCGTAATTACCTGCAGCAGAGTGCACCTGTGCGTTCTCTCGCAAGTACTCCTGGGAAATGAAGTTTACCTTCGTAGTTCCCTTGGTGAAAATACAGAGGATGTTTGATTAATGCGTAAAATGTAACACAAAATGAGCACGAATAGAAACAAAATGTATTCAGGAAATTAGAATATTTTAGGACTACATTTTTTTATTATTATTGATTAATCTGTTTGATAATAATATAGTCTGTTGTATGCCTTAAAATCGTTTTTAAAAAAAATCTGTGATCTTAATTTGTCTCCAATAGTCTGACCAGCAACCCCTTATCAAATTGCATTGAGTTGATGATGATGAAAAAACCTAGACAATTACATTAATACCACATCCACGCGTTCAAGGACAAATCGACGTACAGTATTAGCATTTATCAGCAGTCATAAGGCGGTAAATAAATATTATTATAAGTCATGGAACCTCTGACAAACACAGCAATGAACTCTACATAATTAACATTTATTTCACATGATGTTGAGAGTCTAAAATCCTGTGTACAATTCTTTCTTTTCTTCCTCTCAACCTGATTTTAGATCAGACGGAGCCCAGGAGGAATTCCCTGGAAAGGTCATCCTCCCGGTGAGATACGGGCTTCATCCTTCAGGCCAGAAATGCAAGACGGGGAATGTGCTGTCACCTGCAGCTACTGTATCTGGTTGCTCGGGGAAAAGTTTACAGACAGGTGAGAGAACAGGTGTGAGGGAAGAAATGTAATATGTTTTTATTCTGTAGTCTTTTTTTTTCCTGTGAGGCTTTTTTTGCCTTTACAGAGGAAGAAAAGACGTGAATAGAGAGGATGAGTACAAAGTGTCTTAACCTCCCAGTTACATAATACAATTCCAATTCCAGATACCGTTTAGACTTTAATCGGCCATTTCTTTTTGTGTCCTGTCCCAGTATTTCTTTTTCTTGTGTGTATGTTTGTGGACATTTGCAAATATAGCATGTGAAACTTTGCACACATCCCACGTCCTGTGCTCGCACGCTCCCCCACAGGTCCTTAAAAAGTCTTAATTTTTGTTTTTGAAAGTCTGTAGCTAAAAAAAGGGGCCTTTAATTGTCTGGAATTTTAGAAAGGCAGGCATTAAATTTGATCTGCGGCCGACTAAATTGGCATAATGTCCGCTTATTTGTCCGGTTTTGTTGTGTTTTGTTTAGCCTTGTGTCTCTCAACGATGTCAATTTCCAACGCTTTATTTGGATTATAGAAGCTTTTGACTCCGCCGAATAAGTGGCTGCATGCTCTGAGCGGCCTCACTGCGTATATTTAACTCTTATGAAGCAAAGAGGGAAGTGTCTCTGATGGGTTTTTTTGTCATTTATATTGTTGTGTTTGTGGTTATAAATGGACATGGCAGTAAAACCTGCACTCATATCTGTAGAAGCCTTGTGTGCAGTAGGCGTTTCTGCAATATCCCTTACAGATTTAGCTTAAATATTCATTGTGACCACAAAACCCCCTCCTCCCCCCATCACCACACACTCAAAAGCCTCCTCCCCATCCTTCACCACCCACCCCCCTCCCCCCCGTCTCCCCTGGGACCCCCACGAATGTCTGCTGAGAGGTCTCTAGTGCCAAAAAGCAGGAAGTCACAGCTGTGCTCATCCCCCTTTCAGCATGTGTGAGAGTGAGCAAGTGTGTTATTGTCCCCCTCGTTCTGTATCCGTGCAAAGATCTGGGTCAGAATGTTTTGTGTGTTTGTGTGTGTGTGTTTTCTATCTCTAAACGTCTGTGTATTGTGTCTCCGTCTGGTTATCTGGCCAGTATGATGCTGGTTTCTATTCCCACCTCTTTGCTGCACAAGTTTCCAGTGCCGTTAAATGAAAGCCGGGCTTATACAGCCTAATAAACACTCTGTGTGCCTGAGCTCTGTGTCATTGTGGCTTACAGTATACGACTGGCTGCACTGGTGGAAACACACACACACACACACACACACACACACACACACACACACACACATAAACATACACTCACTCGCACAAAGTCAAGTTTATACTTTTTTATGGTTTTTGTCACTTCTTCTTTACTTCTTCATTTCACCACTTTCTCTCCAATTTTGTTCTAAATCTGTTTGTTTTGATTCTCTCTTTGTAAGCAGTGTGCGGCCTAAATATGTAACTGCTATTACAATAAGTCAATCAGTGAATTCAGTCTGGCAACTATTCTGACATCAGTTGTTCATTTTTTAAGAGTGTTTTTAAATTTCTATTTCTTTTCAAAAACTGACTTCTGAGGATTTGCTGCATTTCTCTCTTTAATGCGCTTGTTCATTTAATGTTTTTTGTTTCTTGGACTAACAATGCATTTGAAGGCATCACTTTAGGCTCTAGTAGACTTTTTTAATTACACATGCAACAGCGTTTGTTGTCAGCCTTTGATGTGATGTTTAGCTTTTAGAGGCACAAATTCCAGACTGTTAATAGTCTAAACAATTTATCGATTAATCAGGCATATTTCAGCAAATTAAACAAAGATGAAATAATCATTCACTGCGGCTTTAGGGATTTTAATAGAAGTGAATATTGAGGAGGCATCGCTGGTCCGAGCAGGTAGTGTGTGCACACCATGCGGACGGCCCGGGTTTGCAACCTACATAGATAGATAGATAGATACTTTATTGATCCCGAGGGAAATTCAAAGCATCCAGTAGCAGGTTACAAGACGTCACATGATATGAAACATTTGTTACAAATAAAGCCGCAAAAAAAAAAAAAACATGTCATTTTTCACTCTCTCTCTCTCTCCCTGATTTTTGACTCTATCCACATTCAGGTCTCTAAAATTAAAACATAAAGAGCACAAAAATAAATGTAATAAAAAAAAAAAGAAGAAGTGGATATTGCCTCTTTGTTTTACACGAAAAGCCAGTTCTGTAGTTCCTTGCACCTGCATTCTGTCTTATAGCCACCAGGGGGAGACTCCACTGGTTGCAAAAAAGTACATTTTGCAGATTGAATGAAAGGAGTGAAAAAATGACTCCACTTCTCAGTTGATTTATTACCTCAATAACTTTTCATACTTATTTTTAGTGGTCTCAGTATTTACTTTAAGTTTTCTTCAACACTGCATAACGGTCCATTATTGAGTTAAATGACACTAAAGGAAGGCGTACCTGTGATTCACAACTCGGATAGAGACATAGCAAGGTGTATCAACTCTGTTGTTCAAATATGGTTACTTTTGGCTTGAAAGATTCAAGATGTCAGTGTCCAAAATATCACTTTTTTTTAGTTGCATCCCAAATTTCTAATTTTGCAGCAACTCTTATCTATTAAAGCGACAGTGCAGAAAGGGAGGCGTTTAAAGATATGTTTTTCTTAGTTTATTGTAGAAGGAAATTCCTAGCTTGCACCTCACCTCAGCACCGCCCAACAACATCTTTTGGGTGAATTTGAACATCCACTACAGTTCTTTAACTTCAGTGTAAGACCTCTCAGATGCTAATAGTTAAAGAAAGTCAGGTGCTTTCCCTCATTTGCTCAGGGCAGCTTACAGTTTAAAGGATATTGGAAGGAGATTGTATCATTTCAAAAACAGGTGGCATCCAAAAGTAATGTTTTTGTGTGCGTTGCTTTTCTTCTTTTCTGCTGCTCCTTGTGCAGCCAGCTCTCTGCTGTAAATCTGCGGCCTCTGGTCTTAACAGGCGCAGTGTGCCTCTGTAACACCGGCTGCCTTTGTTTTGGTTACAGATAAAATCAGCGAAGGAAAACACGACAGCGGAGCGAGAAAGGAGAAAGAGGGAGAGGCTATAAGAGTCTCAGAAAGACCAGGCTGTGAACGAGTGTGTGCCATTCCCCGTGGTGCAGGAGGAAATAGACAAAATCCAAAGAGTGAGTAGGGACGATCTTCCCTCCTCTTTTTTTTTTTTTTTTATAACTTGAATAAGATACACGCTGAGAAAAAAAGAGAGGGGAGGAGGGAGAGGAAATGATAGCTCCTAAAAAAAGAGTGATGATTTGGCAAAGCATGCTCTCAACTGCTTCCTCACTGCGAAAGAAAGATTGACATGTCAGTCACTCCAAACTTTTGATTTATGTGTTAAGTCATGTCTCGTCTGATTTATCTCTTCTGCCCTCTCCTCCCTTTATCCCACCTTTAATTCACCCTGACGGTACCTTACATGCATGCTGTGTTTGTGCACATGTGGCCATATGGAGTCAATCACACCGCCTGTTGTTCGTGTTTTCTTTGGGAATGTTGACAAGTTGACAGGCAAGGCGCTTCACTGACATCTGACAGGAGAGACGGACAGATACAGGGAAGAAGTGGGGGGGGGGGAGGGGGGGGGGGGGTAGAGACACTGAACAAGATAGGGGGGAGGTGAGAGAAAAAGAGGTGGAGAGATGAAGAGGGGGGAAAAAAATGACTTCACGTCCCCGAGACCGGACTGCCCCCTTTTTTCCCCTCAGCCTCTCTCTGTCTCTCAACTTTTTTTTCCTCCCTCCCTCCTCCTCCTCCTCCTCCTCCTCCTCCTCCTCCTCCTCCTTCTGTGTGTTTTTTTTTAAATGATTTGGGGATAAGAGGGGAACAAGCATTCAGAGCTTGGCCGACAGTGCAGGCAGGCAGGAGCGTCACACATGGGCAGCACACTGGGACTGAAGAGGACTGAAGAGGCTTGGGATTTTATTTGGATCTGATGCACTAGAAGAGTTACTAACAGGCAGAAGAGGCAGGAAGAAAAAAAAAAAAGAAGAGAAAGGGCATTTAGATTAATATGGGATTTTAAACAATACACTTACACAGACACGCTGTACAAAAAGAACGAGAAAAGCCAGATGCACTGAAATGTTTTTGTAGAAAAAGGAGGCCGACTAAACATTTTTCCAGGCGGCGATTGGAGTTTTCTTGCACTTCTTCCAGAGACAGAGGCACATTTTGACCGAAAAGAGAAGAATCCTCGTCTTCATCCAGCAATGCTTTTGAGAAACTCTGAACTAAACTGTTGCTGTCTCCCGTCCTGGAAGCAGACGCAGGCGTAGGACACAGTTACCTTTCCTGAAAAGAGGATCCACATTGTCCAATTTTTTTTCCCTGCAAAGTCCCGTGAAGCGCAGGTGCTGTGCTGACTGTCACCATGTTTTCTTTAAGGTTCTGTTTAAAACCATCATGGACTACTTGCCTTTTGGCGCTGTGCCTCCTGGATGTATGGATCTCAGCCTTGCCTGCCCAGCAATCTCAACCCAAGCAGAAGCCCCGTCGGACCAGGCAGATGTCACCTCTAACCACCACCACCTCCTCATCAGCAGCCGGCAACCTGTCGGAGAGCGCAGAGAGCAAAGTGGAGCGCCTCGGCCAGGAGTTCAAGAGAAACGTTCGCGAGCTACGAGAAAAGAGCTCCTGCTTGGACATGGTCTTCCTGGTGGACGAGTCGTCCAGTGTGGGGGCCAACAACTTCCTGAGAGAGCTGAGGTTTGTGAGCAAGATGCTGTCGGACTTCCCCGTTGCGCCGGAGAACACGCGTGTCGCGTTGGTCACCTTTTCTTCCAAGACCCATGTGGTGACGAGGGTGGACCACATCTCAGCGCCCAAACCCGACCAGCACAAGTGTTCCCTGTTCAACCGGGAGATCCCTGCTATCAACTACAGAGGAGGGGGCACCTACACGAAAGGAGCCTTCCAGAGAGCAGCGGTGAGTCAGACATGAATCAACATTTTTCTGCGTATTTAATCTCATGTCTTTTTTTTCCAAAATAGCTCTTCTGTCTCTTTTTCTTTCTCTCTTTACAAGGAACCTGCGCTTGCTTTTTTTGGAAACCTTTGTTTTAAGTGTGAGTCAGTTAGTTGGTCAGTCAGCTCGTCTGCATCCTGCTGTGTGTGTGTGTGCAGGGAGTGATTGCAGCTTAGTAAGGCTGATGGTAATGATGCCCTGCGTGGCCCTTGCTGCTGCCGCTGCTACTGCTTCCTCTAAATTACACACCAGCAGATAGTGAGGGGAAGCCGCTTGCCGGGCTAATTGTCAAGGAGTTTCCAGTGATAAAAATACCATCAAGAGCGAGCACACGTATGCACAAGCACAGACACACACACACACACAGTAGGTAACAGTAGGTATGAGGGACAAATAGCGAGACACACACGTCAAGTGGAGACTTTGTAGTTGGCCATGTTCCTTCCAGTGTGTGTAACCGTAGTGTTTTGACAGAAGCCTTTGGATTGCATGTGTGAATTTGTTTGGGAGGCAGGTATTTGGGGTGGTTTGTGGGATTACAGGAGGTCAGCATGTTAGCTTGTTTATGGTTTGTTTGATTTGTGCAGCCTGACACCCAGCAGCACACACACACACACACACACACGCACACACACTGAGGACATATGGCACAGTTCATCCGTCAAGTCCAAACAGCCCAGCTGTTGGAGCTGTGTTGGTGGTATAGAGACCGGTCCTGTGTAAACACACCACCTCAGCTCAGGCCTCAGAGGGGGCTTTCGGTTCCGAGTGTTAGTTTGGATAGTACAGGATTCAGGTGCGTTTGGAAAAACCGCAGCCTGTTTGTACACTAGCTTCTGGGAATTTTCAGTCGGCTGGTTGTTGTTGCATCAACACAGCTGAACGCATAAATGGAAAACGGTACAAAATGTTGATGTTTGGATTGGGTGCACCAGAGTCAAAAATGTTCTCTGTCTGGATCACGGGATGTAGCACATGATGGTTGTGTGAATAGCTAAGTTTGTTGCAGGCTAACCCCAACATCAACTCCTTTATGTCGGTGATGTGGTCGATGAAGGGAGACAAAGACACTGTTGGCAGCATTGGCCTTTACAGCCACTACTTTCACCACAAGTCAGTCACAGGATTCTTCTTGAACTTCAGACAAGCAAGACAACAGTTTCAACACATCTTTAAGCAGGTAGACACGCTTTAATGGCAATGCAAATCCATTCATGCACATAGTCAATGTTTAAGTCTCAGACAGGCAGTAAGAGACGTGCTACAAGTGAGCACGCCCGCTTCATGTTGCCGCTATTTGCTGAAACTTTGAGAGGGGAGAATACAATTTTACCTGATTGCTGGACAACACCGACACCCGCTGTGACACAAGGAGGAGGCGGCGGTGCTCTTTGGTCAGTGACCGTGGAGACGTTGGCAAAACATGCAGAAGACCGCAGAACCTGAGCTGTTGTCAGTCTCAAATCACAATTTAATGCCACTTCAATCCTTTTATGAAATGATAGGTTGAGTAATCGATGTTTCCTCATGCGTGCGCCACAATCAAACAGCTGTGTTTAAACCGGTGATGACGGTATGGCAAAAATCCACGTTGTTGCAGAATGTGATACTGGTGCTGACATTGAAACGGGTTAACCGCCAACCAAGACTGATTTATCTGGGATGTAAAAAAAAGCCTTTCAATACTATTTTTTTTTTAAAACACACATTTAAAAAATTTTAGTCGGTGAGAAAAATATTGCGATACTCTTTTTTTTTTTTTTTTAAACCAGCAGAGGGCGCTAACGGTTTGGCCGAAGATTTTTCGGAGACAGACGTGATGTCTTTTGTCAAATCGTGGGTGTTGGAGCCTATTTTGTATTTTCATTTTCAGAGAAACTAGAGATGTATTTATACATATTTAGAAATGAACTGACTTCAAACCAACGAAAATCGAATCAATTCCTACCCAGCATGATGATACAAATAGTGTCGTTAGTTGAGTGTCCGTAATACCAGCAGCTTAATCTGTGCATTTCTACTTCATAATTGGTGTAAATATGGTCTTAAAAATGTAATATATTGATATATCTATCTCACTTTGACGTCACAGTGCTAACTGTTCATGAACGTGCGTCTCAACATAAATCACATCAGCCTTCTTTTATAGATGAAAGAGTGAGTTAGTTGAGTTTTGGCAGGTTTACGCTTCAGTCTATCCCTGTTTTAAGCTAACAGCCTTTGGACCGTATCCTCAGGCTTAGCGCTGAAAGTTTGGCCCTGAGGACAGGTTTTCAGCTCGCCCTCCTCTTTTAAGTGCTGATAAGGAGGCCGCTGGCTGCGTCCCAGCTGCTAAAGACTACAACAATACAGAGAAAAGGCTTTCTGGGGGAACTTTAGTGGCTTATCGTCATTCACAAACACTCTAAATGTTTTGGGTGATTTATCAAGTGATGTAGTAGTCTGAAGCAGCCAAAGTTGGCTTTAGAAAGAAGCAGGGTGCACTCCTTTTAGGGCCCTGAAGTTGGCTCTGAAACATTGTGATTGACTCATTGTCTGATTAAATTTAAGGTTAAATGCAATTCACTAATCTCAGCCAACAAACACTCCTGTATTTCCTTTCCAGTGTGGCATCTGCATGGTGAGAGTCAGACTCGAGCCGTGTATGAGTAATGGGAAAGCTACGTGCAGCCTACACACAGCTGAGATCTTTTGGAAAGATAGATGAGTCTAACAGACTCAGACCGTGTACCGGTTGTCCAGAAACCAGCCCGACACCTGATGGATTCAGTCTGACCCTGATCAAGGGAGTAATGTTAAAATATAAAAAAACAGCCCCCGAATGTTATTCATCGCCTGATTTCTGTTTTTTTTTGTTTTTTTTTAATCCTCTGTCTGAATCTTACTGGAAAGAGAAAAATGGAATTTGTGGTCTCTTTCCATTAGCTGTATGAAGGAGGGGTCCGCTAACTCTGATCTACAAGGCACATATCCTCCTGTCATCACGCACCCACTGACCTGTTGGAAAGTGTACAGTATGCGAGGGATGAATTGGAAATTTGCAGCATGTGTGTGCGTGCAAGTAATTAGCGAATTAACGCCTGTGCCCGAACACGTGCAACGGTGTATCCATCTAATGCTTCTGGGGGAAAAAGAGTGTTGGAGATGCCTGTATGTTTGGTGTGTGTGACTGTGAACATGTGAAATAGAGACTGGGAAAGTTAGAGAGAGAGAGAGAGAGAGAGGGTAATTGATAATTGCGGTATAATAATAATAATAATAATAATGATGCGATATTTTATTCCCTTGGCTGCTCTTGGCTGTTGTAAGTGCTGCAGAAAGCTGGGATCCATTAAGAGAGACATTTTTCCACCAGCCGTGCATGTAGAGACAGGGCTGTCCTCCAGCACTCTTCATCTCTGTCTGCTGTCTGTCTGTCTGTCTGTCTGTCTGTCTGTCTGTCTGTCTGTCTGCCCGGCTGTCTCTCTTTTCACCTCTGCAGCGTTTATGTCCATACAGCGAGTGAAAGGCTCTGCCTGAAATGTTGGCTGGTTATAGCCAAATGAGTCACATTTCAATTGTGAGACTCTCTCTTAAGTTGTTGTCAGACCAAAAGGAAAGCAGCTTTTAGCTTTACATACAAAAGAGGACAAAGACTTATATGTGATAGGAATTTAAACCTATAAAATCCCGTTCTTGTATGTGCTGAAGAAGAAAATCAATCAATCCTGCTGAGAAATTCAGGTTGCACTCTGCCGCCAAAGCTTTATTTTCACCTTGTTTTTGGAGTCCTATCATTTTTTCCACTTGTATGCACTAAATGTGATTGATGAATGACATTGGAGCGCTTGACAGATGTTCTAATGTGATCTGGGTTAACTGGACAAAGTTGCAGGAGCGAGGTACTTTGGGTTCTCTGAAACTGGCAGACACAGCTTCCTAGAATTTTTCAAAAACCACTTCAGATATGAATAAAATCTCCAAAGCTTAGAAAGATTAACGGCTGCTAATAAACTATATATATATATATATAATAATATATCCTTCAAGTTAAAGACGCATTTCTGCCTTTTGCATGCAATAAGTAGAACAAAAGATACATTCTACTATTGTATTGTAAATATGTGATGCAGGTCCTCTTTATCTTGTCATCACTGATAAAAGCCAGTTCATCATTCTGTCTTACTGTAATCCTGCAGCGATGGTTAATGTCAAACACTATGATCATATTAAGAGTGCAGCGCTTCATAATAATGACTCACTGCTGTCTTTCCTCAAAATCACCCACACTTGATAACCTTTTAAATGATGACGTCACTCGAGCCACAGTCGTTTTCCAGGACTTTACAGACTACCGACTACTCAGTAAACCCGTTCAGACCCCTTGAGGAATAACATCTCTGCTGTACCTCAGACGGAGGTCGCCCTCATTCATATTTCTTTTCTCTCTCCTAACTGTAACTGCCCTGAAAAAAGTTGATCCATTTTCCTGCTCTCTTTAACTCACATTTGATTTATTTTCCATGCATTTGACTTTTACATGACCAAAATGTCTTCGAGGCACTGTGGCTCAAATCCTTTGATTTGATTCTGTTGGTTTACTAGTAATCTTGTTGTTCCAAGAATTATGGCTTTTTCCATTGTTGAATTTATTATAGTTGGCCTTTGTTACAAGTACAGGGAGAGAAACGTCTGCATGTGTTATAGCCAGCTAAAAATCCCCCCATCTGTTTTTTTTTTTTTTTTTTTTTCATCTCACCAAGATTCGCCTCTGCGTTGCCAGACAATAACCCCTGTTGCTCTCTGCAGGCCGGCCCCACTTTATCAGAGAAGCATTCAACTTGACAATGCGGCGTCACACATCACTCTGTCTTCACAGTTGCATAAGAAACAGACAAATGGGCAGCGTGTGAAGAGTGATGACGAGAGTAGGTGGGGGGGAAGAGATTGAAGAATGAGGGGAAAAAAAAGTTGTCGAGGAA